CAGTGACTTCATATTACAGAACAGTCATTAGAGCTATGTGAACTGGCCAAGATCATAAATATGGCTGTGGTTGTCTCAAAGACTACAAACCATGTAAACCAATAACAAAAGTAACCAACATGTCCTATTTGATCAGAGCAGTAAATCCAACCACTTAAGAGTTATATCTGGAAGATAAAAAAAGTCATATCTGAGAATAGGCAGCTATTTTATCATAAGTATTGAATTGGCCAAAAAGTTTTTTTTTTCCCCATAACATGGCTGTAGTAGCACTTAGTTGTTTTTAACTTCATTCAAAACAATTTTATCAGATTATATTGTAACAGCTGTCATATCAGTGTGAATTTAAAAAAAAATGGTGAATTTTTGTGTAGCCATTTTAATACTGAAGATGGAGGAAAATACACATTTTAAGCATATTATGCTTTATTATTTCAAGGAAGGTAAAAATGCAAGAAAAAATGTGTAGTGTATGGAGAAGGTGCTGTGACTAACTGAGTGTGTCAAAAGTGGTTTGTGAAGTTTTGTGCTACAGATTTCTTGCTGCATGATGCTCCACAATCGGGTAGACCAGTTGAAGTTGATAGTGATCAAACTGAGACATTAACTGAGAACAATTAATGTTATACCATGTGGGAGATAGCCGACATACTCAAAATATCCAAATCAATAAAGTTATTGGTGAAATTGAAAAATGTGTCCTTTATTTTATGGAAAAAAACTAAACAGACTTTTTGGTCAGCCCAATAATAAAAGTGAATGAAGAAAATAAAATGGCTGCCTACTAAAGTAAGGGTGTGTGTGATAGCCAATGGCCAAATGGACTTAATCATTTAACTATGTACAGCTAGGAGCCTATTATGTAGAAGGGGAACTGAAGAGGGCACAAGAAGTAAAATAAATACCAGGGAATCCTTGGTCAGTGTTTCTAAAAGTATGTAGTCTCAGGATGAATTGCATCAAAACTCCTGGGAAGCTTGTTAAAATGCAAATTCCTGGGTTTTACCATAGAATTACAGGATAAGTTTCTCTGTTGGCAAGGCAAAGAAGTGCATATTGAATAAAACACCTGAGGTGATTTCAGTACAGACAGTTTTAATCTACAAAACAAATAAGCAAGTAAAATAGAACCAGAGACATGGAAATAAAGAACAAACTGACAGTAACGAGAGTGGGGGGAGGGGGTAATGAGGGAAAGAAGGGGAAGGGTCAAGTCAAGGAACATGTATAAAAGACTCATGGACAAAGACAACAGAAAACGGGGTGGGGGAGGGTTGAATGTGGGAGGTGAGGGTGGGTAGGGCAGAGGAGAGTAATGGGGGGGGAGTGGGAATAATTGTAATTGAACAATAAAAAAAGAATTTTGAGAAGTACTGTTCTAAGTTAATATCAGAGAAAATAGTGATACCATAGCAATAATAGTGTCCTGTAAGCATAAATACTTAGAACAAGGCATGATAATGATTCCACTGTATAAGAGTCCAAGATATCTGGGTTTCAAATCCACAACTATAAAACTTTTAATTAGTTGTTTTACCTCTTGTTGCCCCATTTTATTATGATTGCAATGGGAAGCTTTTGAAATATTTTAAGAAGGGGAATGACGTGTTACTAATTATATTTGTTGCTGAATAAATATAAAAACATACAAATTAGGGGCAGATCGAGTTAGGTGAATATGCTATTGAAATAGTCTAGGTGATAATGTTAGCTTAAAAATATGTTGTTGACAGTAAAGTTGGAAGGTAGTGAACAGGTTTTGTAATTTAATTTGTTAGCATCAGTGATGGATCAACTACAAGGGAAAGAGAGGAGTCAAGGATGATTCATGAGCTTTTGGCTTCTGATGAATGGTTGAGGTTTTAAGGGATATGAGTGATTTGAGGATTCAAGTATTTGAGCATGAGGCCAGATCAGGTAGGTCAGGGCTAAAAACCTAGGAGGAAATGGGGCATCAAGGGACTTGAAGTTTCTTGGAAGTCAAAGGGCAAATAGGGTCAGAATAGGAGAACTAGGAGGATGGGTGACTGTGGCCAGACAGTGTGGTACTGGTGTATGTGATTCCCTTGGTGGAGCAATTCTGCATGATGACCAGGTCTGGGTTAGCCATGAGCACAGCAGGCTGAAGTAGACTGGATGTGATGTGAAGGTCAATTGAGGTGGAGAGGTCAACAAACTTGATAGGCCAGGAGCCTGATTGAGTCATCTGGGGCTAGAGAGGACAACAGGACAAGTGTGATCCAAGGGCCAAAAGCTTGGGTTAGTGACCAAACCCGTTGATGAAAGCAAGAAAAAACTGGATGACACAATGGAGGACAACGAATAATAGAACCTCCACTGGAAAGCCTTTAAAGAAAATATCTTCCCCATGGATATGTGGATTGTAGGAGAATGAACTCCTCCTTTTCTGATACAGTAGGTTTTGATTTAATGCAGAAGCATGGATTAAAAACAAAACAAAATAAAAAGCTTTGTAAGCACCAGAGCACAAACATGTTATCATTTTTTTTTTTTGGTTGGTGAGTTATATATTTTGTTGCCAGAAACATTTCTGGATGAAATTTCATAATGTTTGGGATGTGCTTCAAAATAATATAGGAAAAATTAATATAGGGTGGATGGGTAGGGATGATAAATGAAGCGAGATTGGCCATGCATTGATAAGTTATAATGAATCCCAGGAAAGGACGCGTGGAGGTTCCCTACACTATTCTTTTTTTGTGTGTCTGAAGTTTTCTTTAATAAAAATTTAAAGAAACAATTTCATCTTTATATATTCAGCCCATTATTTTGACTGGCATCTTTTTATATTCTCACTTTGTGAAACTCTTTTATCCCCTCTCCATGAGGTCCACAGGGAGAGGTATTTATCCTTATTTTATTGATAAACTTCTCTGATCTTAAGGGACTTGTCCAGGGCCTTGCTTAACAACTGATATAGGACTAGAACTCCATGTTCTTTTGACTTATGGACCCATGTCTACCACCCCAGTGAGTATGTAAATTAAGAGGATGTTAAAATTCAGACTAGTTCTCTAGGGCCTTTGATTTTAAAAACATAGTCTTCATTTGATTGCAGGTCTGACATAATGAAATTGCTTTTGCATGTACTATTCCTTCTACAGGGAATGTTCATCCCCATCCCCCCGATCCCCTAGTTCGCCATTTAAACGCCCACACACCCTTCAAAGCTCAACTCAGTGCCCCCCCTCACATTCTGTCTGTGCCATCCCATCTCCTTTGCATTTTTTCTGTATCTTGTTGAAATTTTTTCCATTTCATATATCACAATGAATTTTAAATGTGACTACGTGCATGTGACTGTGCAGTTTTCTCTAATAAACTAGAATCATGGAGTGTATTTTTAAACTTTATGGCCTTTTACATAATTCCATGTAATATGTAGTTATTCAACTCACACATGCTTTAAACTATTGATTGAGACAAAGGCAAAAGAAAAAAACATGGGAGCCAAAACAAATACCGTGGACTTGGCCAGTTTGCGCATCTGAGGAGTGAGTACTTGTGACATGGTATGAAATTCTGGGGTTGTGGAGAATTTTTTTCTTTTTGGAAACTCACTCACTTAGGGGCCTTCACTCAAATACCAGGGTGACTGCCAATAAATATAGAAAGTGTTCGAAGACCAAATCACTTACATTTTTTCCCTCTAATAAAAACCTTCCTGCAGGAAAAGAGAGATGGAGGTGGGAAGCAGGAAGTGTTTGTTCCTGCAACTGTGTAATTCATGGACTGTACAAATTACTTATAACCCTGGCTGGTGTTGGTCAGGGGACTAAGTGCCCTCCTCTGAGTCAAAGGGCTGCAGGTTCAATTCCCAGTCAGGCCACATGCCTGTGTTGCAGGGCAGGTCCTCAGTAGGGGGCATGCGAGAGGCAACCACATATTGATGTTTCTCACTCTCTTTCTCCCTCCTTTCCCCTCTCTAAAAGTAAATAAATAAAATCTTTAAAAAAATTGCTTATCACAGTAGGGTAGGTCCACAGGAAAGGAGATGGAGTACCACACAGATCATCAGATCAGTTATAATATTGGATAATATCTAGAAAGGCACCATCGTGTGATCTTTTGAAGGAACACTTGCTTATTCTTCCCACAAACGACTGTTCATTAAGAACTGGGAACAATACATTTCTGAAAGGAATGCTTCACAAAACTTTGTAAGAAAAGTATGGTTAACGTAATATCATCTTCTTTGTCCTGAAAAAGAGAGTTGGGCTTTCACACATTTAGTTAACAAAGTGCTATCATAAGTATGGAAAGGAATGCAGCGCAACTTAATTAAAAATAAAATTTAGAATGAATTTTATGCCTTCTAATTTATTTTGTAACGACCATCAAGCTTATTTCATTGCGAAAAGTGTCATTTACAAGCCTGTGGTGATCTTACTGTTTCAGCCAAGCTGAGACTCAGTGGTAATCAGGAGGCACAAGGAGGGCAGTGTAAAGACAGCTTTAACATTTTCAGTGAAAAGAGCCAACTTGTTTATGGTATTGATTTGCTTTTAACAAGCTCCCTCAACCAAAACTGATGAATTGGCATAAGAACAAGGGTGCAAAAGGAACATCAAGGGGCCTTCCAAAATGCTAACCAAATGATGAATTATCTGCTTTGGGTGGCCATCTTCACATCCTTTAGAACCAGGGGATAAAAAGATACAAAACTTTTAATATATGCTGTCTGTGTGTGTGTACACACACACACACACACACACACACAGAGCGATTAGAGCATGCAGCCAGTGGTGATGTCTTAATACTTGATAATCAAGTTCCATACTTTTAAGCAAATGCAAATTTTTCTGCATGCTGTCTTTAAAGGGCAATTTCACTGCATACTGAATTGAAAGTAATCACTGATACAAGTTCAGATAAAACATCTGTAGGGTAAACACCAAAGCATTTTCCACACAGTACTGCATTTAAAAATAGCTAACTTTATTATCAGTGAAAAGATAGGCACAAAGTGGATTCAAACCTGCTTTATTTTATTGGAACTAGCTCAGTTGATTACAGAATTGGGTCTTAAATCATTATGGGGCCACATACATTTCAAACCAAAGGTGATTCTTCTCTAGCCATCTGCCAACCCCAGCTATACATTTTACAAACACATGCCATTAATCACAAGGGGTGCCAGAAAGAGGTCTAATGATTTCATGTAACCCATCACTGCTACCAGAAAAAAACAAACTCCCCAACACTGGTCCTCCTGATGATGTGGATGGCACTTGCAAGATATATTCCAAGGATCATGACAGGTTGAAATTGGTGGTAATTAGTCCATGGCTGATGCCTTCCTTTGAAAACATGTTCAGTGAGAATGCACAAATTTATGTAACATATTTTATATGTCAATGAACAACTGAGATAACAGGAGATTGTATGGCTAACAGACATGAGGTTATAATTTATAAAATTAGTGCATATGTATACACTTTAAGTTGCCACATTAGTAGTTTTAACGCTTTTTATAAAAAGTAGTTTGCACAATTAGTTTGTTCATTTTCCAATTGTTGTACACACCCAACTGTGTAATAAGAAAAAGAGAATGTGATAGGCCTCTTAGTATGTTTCCTATGGCAGATGATGGCAGATATCTCAGGTTCCTGCTGTCCTCTCATCCTGAAACTCAAAAGCAGCACTGAAAACAAATCCTTCATTAAAACAACAATCAAGATACATGATTTTAAGAAAGCTCAAGCTACTTTTATTTAATAAAACATTGTTAAGAATTTTATATCAAGTAAAGTTTGTTCTAATGAAGTTTTTATGTACATGGGACATTGTAGTAAAACTGACCTAGAAGGTCCCCAGAGTCCACCATGCAGTACAAGACAACAAGGTCCCCCTCCTGTTCTGAGGTGCCAGTAAAATGCATAGATAAGTGGGAGTCCAGAAACATCCCCCAAATATTACATCGACACAGTTGTGAAAAGGTGACTACTTTGAGATTTATCTCATAAACCTGAATTTTAAAAATGGCATCTATCACTGATCTTCTAAAAGGGTTTAGTCTATCTTCTTCGTAAACATAATACACTGACATGGACTTCTTCCATCTCTTAGATGTACAATCTGTTTTAGCAAATTACCTAGGATTAAAAACTGAGCCATAAAGGACCCCCTCTTGTGTGAGGGGGCAGAGATGTGGTAGAAAGTTCAAAATAATACTTAACTAAGAACTTCCTCCTTTTCCCAAAATACATGAACCTAAAGAGATGGCTGCCACACAGTGTGGAATGCATGACATTTGTCACCTTACAGAATGTAATTAAAGCCATGGCTCCCAGCGCTAGCAAAAATTCTGGCAATATGTTATAACCATAAAAGGAGTAAATGAAAGCTTATTTTATTTTATTTATTTAGATAGAAAGTAGCAGTCTTAAAGTTTGCTACTTGTTGCTTTTACTATTTGAGGGTTATTTTTCACCCTTATGACTAAAGGGTAGTATGAATGAGTATTAACACAACTGTACTTTTAATTTCTATTTGGGATTCACTTAATAACTGAGGACTAATGTGTAGGATAATCACTTCATTATTTAAAATGTCAAGACTGGCTAAAAAAAATCACGTCCCTTTCCCTCTTATCTCTTCCCTGCACACACACAAAATCATTTATTTGGAAGGTAATTAGGAATGACACAAGAATACTAATAAATAGGCCATGTCTGTACTTACAGAGGAACCCTATAAGATAATCCAAGACAGCCAATCTCATAGCAAGAGAAGTGAGGTTGATTTCTTAGGGCAGATGTTTCATGTGACTCTATATTGAAGTCAGAGTCAGGAAAGAGGAAAACCTTGCAAAAGGCACTGCAGGAGTAGCAAAATAAGCACTCAGAACCCTAGAGAAACTATTCAAGGTAGGAACATTTTAGAAAATACATATGCCCTGGACTGTGAAGATACCTTTTCTTAAAATGGGGCTTTTTATATATGAAGATTTCCTAAAATAAGCATGGTATTTGGCAGAGTGGAAAGCTGTGTTGTGTGATCTTGAAAAGTCACTTAAACTCTCCAGATGTCAGATTCCTCATCACTAAAATGATGGAGTAGGGCTATTTTGTTAAAGTTCCTTCCAGCCACTATGCCTCACAATGTAATATATCAGACTTACTCTTCTATTAATCTGGTTTCTAACTAACATATCCCCAAATCTCTACCTCCCGCCCTTACATAATACTCCCATTCCCCTCACCACCCCCCAATACCCCTTGAAAACTGATATTAATGACATTGACTGTAAATTTATCTTAATAAAAGGTAAATAACACAGAGCAGGGACCTGTGGCAAGAGGCAGCCCTTCTGTGTTCGTGGAGGCAGCCCTTAGGCAAAGCTTGGAGCCATGGCCTCCTTGGTCCCTGCCCACATGTGCATTTCCTGCTGCTCTACACAAGTATTCCAAGATGGAGTCACTGGCCATGAGAAGAGGTAGCTGAGGACACTGCTGCAGCCCACCTCTCCCCCACTGCAGCATAGTACTTTGGGCTTCTGATGCTATTCCCTTGGAGGTGATAGTCAAATATGCCTAAGAATTTAGGAAAACAAAATGAATTATTTCAAAATAGTCACCAGAAATTCAAAGCATTCAACCTGTCACCAAAAATGCTTCCTCATTTTGCAAAGGATTAGCAATTTGAGACTGGTGACACAGCCAGTGAATTTGTGCTAAGAAGAAACAGACATTAAGCAGATTGGTCTCAAGAAAGGCAAGCAAGCTGTTCATGGCTAGACACAGACCACAGAGGTCTACATACATCAAGCCCCTCATGCAACTCTCCATCAAGGCCGCTAAGAGAGTAAGTTTCAGCTAATTTACTATCCTATCAGCTGAAAGCAATATATTAATTACCCAAATGCATAAATTACTCCAGAGTATATATATGAATATATGAACCTCCAAGAGGGAACCAAAAGAATCTACTTCCAAAGCACCACTGAAATGAAGATAAAAACAATCCCCTGGTACAAGGTACTGGAGAAATTGGAAGGGAAAATTAGCTCCAGCACCCTTCCACACCCCAATACTCTCTGCCTCTTCTCCAGTTTACATGGCTCCCATAATTATTCCCTTTCATAAGCCTGAAGCAAGAACTCTCTCTGGATGCTGCCTAGATGGTATCTACAAAACAGCACACATACAAATTCTCTCTGGCTTTCCACTTCTGAACTACATGTTACACACTGTCTTCTAAACTTACTGTGCTCTTCGATAAAAAAAAAATGATCTGGAATATGGAAATGATAAATTTAAGCACATCGAACACATTGGTGTATGTCCAGTTATTAACATCCCAGCATTTGTATGAATCCAAGCGATAAACTTTAGAGCACATTCTGATTAATCTGTCTTTAGAGGTACTCTCTAAGTGTACCAAGATAGACTGGAGTTCATAGGGTATTATGTAAGTACGATAACGTCTCAAAAAAAGTCCCTTTAAAAACATTCCCCCAACCCTTGTCCTCACCCACAAAATAAGAACAACAAATGGGAAAAATGATTAAAAGCATTCTTGCTAATAAATTGAAGCTCTTGATTAGGCCATTTAGATGAGATATTCCACCATTTCTGCATCAGGCTCTTGACCCAGCATCTGAACAGCAGCTTTTCTTTCCAGAGTACTGGAGTGGAAAACAGGACCATCTAAATAGAAATAAGGGATTAGAAAACACTTAGGGACAGCATAGAAAACACATTTCTAGAAATGGATAGCTTTGAAGCCCTTATGAAACTAGCCAAATGAGACTTGCTTGCCACCCTGCCTTGTTCACCTGAGCATTTATTTAAGTCTATTTGGAGAAAGGCTTTGATTCATCCCTGTTCCCATCCTGGTGTCAGATAAGTCATTTACAAACTCTCTGCCCTTATCTTTTCTGATTAATCCTCTTTAGAATATGAAAAACCTCCCTCCAAATGACCAACTGTGCCCAAACAGAAGGCATCAACAAACAAATCTGTAATTGAGGGCAGAATCAAAGCTACCTGGTACAGAAAATTATTACCTGTCTTATCTGGATTACAGGTCAAATTTGGTATAGACAAACGTCGTGGTCCACAAGCAGCTGGAGTTGCAGGAGCCTCAGCCTGAGCTAAAGCTGGAGTTGCTGGAGCTGGAGCTGGATTAGCAGATGCAGCCGGAGATGGAGTTGGTGTCTGAGTCTGAGCCGGAGCAGAAGCCTGAGCCGCTGCTGGAGTAGGAACCGGAGCTGGAACCGGAGCCGGAGCAGCTGGAGCAACCTGAGCAGCAGCAGCGGCAGCAGTAGGAGGAACAACAGTAGCAGCAACAGCAGAGGCAGCAGCTGGAATCTGAACAGCAGCAGCTGGAGAAACAGCAGCAGCAAGAGCAGCAGCAGCAGCAGTTGCTGGAGATGAGACAGCAGTGGCAGTGGCAGCAGCAACAGCCACTGGAGCAGCAGCTACCATGGTGGTGGTGTTGGTGGCAGCATTGGCAGTGATGGCGGCAGCAGTGGCAGCAGCAGCAACTGTAACAGGAATAGAGATGGGAGTAACAGCTGCAGTTTTGTTTGGTTCAGTTCCCCTTTCTGTTTGGGTGCTGCAGTCTCGGCTGCCTGTCTTAGAGTGAGCTGAGAGCAGGGGAGTCGAGGGCGGCACAGGCGAGGGTGTAGAAGGGACAGAGTCTGCACGGTAGTCTCCACCCAGGAGAACACCTACAAAAGAAAGAGAGGAAAAAGGTTAGAAAACTACATTTTATTCAAATACAGACATGCCATTACCTCTTCTTGCTTGTAGGAGGTTCAGAAGAAATATGAATAGGTCTAAATTCTTTATTTGTCCTCATATAAACCCAGAAATCAGTTTGTCAGGCACCTGCCATCATGGCTAAAAGTTTCTTTCAGACTTGACAGATCCCTTCTGGTTCTCATTCTCCAAGTTCCAACACATTGTGTTAAACCTTTAAGTGTCTTGGGTATGTGTTTTGATTTATTTTTACAATGGTGACTGATTTCCACTGAGCCTTCAGAATGCTTCTACTTGGTTCCACTTATAACACCATATATTACTAGGCAGGTGAAAAGGATGGGTGGGAGATGTCTGTAGTCACAGGTGAGTGTGATAATAATTGTGTGATCTAAGATTTTAACCATGACCATGGTCCCCAAAGTGCCTACTCTAACCAAAGGACACTGCAAGTGCCAGAGAACCAAGAAAGGCATTAGAAGCAACAAAAAGAGCTAAAATTAAAATATACCCAGCTTACATCCTCAGGCTCTAACAATGTGCCTCATGGGATCCCCAATACTTCTGGGGTTTTGATTAGAGGGGAATAAATGGACACGGAAGAAATGAAAAAGTACATTGTATTCTCATATCAGAACATTCTGGTAACAAAAGCCTGCCACCCAGCTCCATTTAGCTTAACCAGAACTCTGCGTCCTCGAATTTTATGGGAGAAAATAACACAGAAAAAGCTAAAATTAAAAAAAAAAATTACTGCAGGAAGGGTGCATGGGCTTTGAACGCAGACAAAACATCCCACACAGTAAAGACCAAATCTGAGAGTCTTTTTTTTAGAGGAAACAAGTTATTTTCCTTCCCACCTAAACAGAACTCAGGATTATTATTTTCTAAGGCCTTAGCTTCAAACAATGCTCTTTCAGTCAGACTTCACAGTGTGGAGGAGCTCCTGATACGCAGCTAGCATCTCAGGAGGACAAAAACCCAATGCTCTATCTTCCTCCCTAGAATCTGGACCATGACCCGTTTTCCTTGCTCTGTCAACCCATATCTAAGTCAGAGCTCTTTTTAAACATGTCACTTTAATCTTCCTTATTTATTGTCATTACCTAGGCTCCCCTTCCAGCTCTTGTCATCCCGTTTCTCTTCCATGATAGGGGTGCCAGTCAGGGTGGAAGAGTGGGAGAGCAAGCCTGATCCAGCATTGGAAATGGACATCAGAGACTTTGCTGGCCGCATGGATGACAGCTGCTCTGTCTTACTAGGCTCCTTCCGGGAACGCTGCTGGAGTACTTTGATCATGGCATCCTTCTCAATTATCTGGGCATGGAGGGTCTTAATCCTGGGAGCCAAAAACAAAAAACATATAAAGACCATGTTGCCACCTCCATGTTCTGGTTTCACTGCCTACGTGGGCTTGAGCTTTCATCATCCTTTTGCCTAAAGGGTGTTCAAGTTATTTCTCAGTTGTAAAACAAGGGAAAGTATGCTACATTTTTTAAAAATGCCTTTCTGCACATCCAAATGGACAGGGCAGAGCATCCTGGAGTTGTTGCTTACATTTTAGGAAGCCGAAGTAAAATATTGGTGAAGAGAAAGCTGTATATGAGAGTAAACTGATAATAGTGGGTGGTGTCATGAAGAATCTGAGTCAACAGAAATGAAGTCAGTGAGAAGCTGAGAACTTCCATAAATGGGCCACAACCTTCAGGTAATGAGTAAATGATCATGAGTTTATAAGAGAAATCAGGTACCACATGAGTGGATGTTCTTTTACTGAGCACTCTGATGTGTAGTGCTAGAAACAATACCCCAAAGTACAAATGCCAACAGTTCAGTTCTGGCAGAGGACAGATGGAAAGCAATTACCATGGCCAATGGGGAAAGAAACACTACTTGGAATTCCACAGTGAGTGAGAATTCAAGGTAAAGGTCATTGCATCTCAAATCCTAAGTAACAGGCTGGCAGGAGTGTAGGGGTGGGTGAGGGTACATTATCCAGTTTCCCAGTTGTGAATGAAGATTCTTGTCTTTTGCTATTAACCTGTCTGGTCTCCATACTAACTTTTCAGATCCACCAGGGTCTAGATCAACATTTTACCTTCCCTCCATATCAAGGCAACGCTTGTTGGCCATCAAGATTTCTTCCTCCTCCTTCTGGATGCGAGCTTCTAGAGCTGTGTCATAGCTGGTGTTAGGAGAGTGACTGATGACTGTTGTGTCCCTGGGAAGGGAAATGGCAGCAATAATAATGGCAGGACAGCAAAATCAATAAATCCTATCTCTTCCTAAAGTCAAAGGTATTGCTTGGAAAGCCCTAAACTGAAATCAAACTTATTAGGAATATTTGGTTTCTGGGTGACTTACTGATAAGAGCTTTCAAGATAGAAATGTCCAGCTTTCAGAACTAGAAGAGGATATTGGCATGGAAGTACCTGCAAAAGTCAGTAAGGGGTTCTGCAAGAGGTGTGTACAGGTGTGCCCTTCAACACTAAGCAGACAACCATCCAAAATCTCCTAGTTTTTAGATTATTGTCAGGCAACGGAAAGATATTGATGTTTATATGTGCACTTTATATTATTTGTATTACATATAAGATATTATATATTTCCATTTTATTCCCATGACAATCCTAAAATTAAAAAAGCTATACTTAAAGGAAGTCGGAGGACATCCTAAAAAGCTATTGTTATAGATGAATAGTAATAACTACACCTGAGAGGTAGAAAGAAACTAGACACATGAACAGGTAGGGCACATGAGCTGAATGAGAAGCCAGATCTTTGAGTCAGTGTCACGTGATCCGTATCTAATGTACATCTGAAACATTCTGGTTCCAAACCATTGACTGTCCCTGAACTAAGTGATTGTTCTCTTGCCAGCATCCCAACAGCATGAGGGACCATGATGTTCCATCTGAAAGTGTCTCAGGCCACTGACTCAAAGAATAATTAATGAGAAGTGTGTGTGTGTGTGTGTGTGTGTGTGTGTGTGAGTGAGAGAGAGAGAGAGAGAGAGAGAGAGAGAGAGAGAGAACAAGAGAAGAAAAAGAAGAGGGTCTAGCCCATGGACAAAGCTGATGCCTAAATAGCACAAGTCAAAAACATAGGGAAATCCTTTATCCTGTTGATCAGTGAGGTAATGTATGTTCCTTTATTTCATTTACAACTAGCAGTAGAGAAAAAAAAAGGAAATGAAATGAAGAAAACTGGATCTTATTTGAGTAACTTTGAAGTAAAGAAAAAGAGATTAGGAAGAATATTGATGTAATTATATTGCTCTTAAAGGAAATCACACAATAGGCTAGGAAAACAATGAACTGGCATTACTTCATTATATTTCCTGAGAATGCACATCTGTGGGAAAACTCCAGGCCTATTTTCTCCTGGCAACTAGCTGTGTTGTCTTAGATTAGAGATTTTGACCAGTGCAGATGGGAGTACAGGGGCAGTGGAATGAAGAGGCAGAAAGTTGGTATTAAAGTTGGGAAATTTTGGTATGCTTCTGCAAAAATGCTTGTGCCTTATATGCAAGACTGAAACAATTTGTTTGAATAGGAAATAATTGGAGAGCAAGAAGTGGAAGGACTACAATGGCGCTCATGATTTGCTAAATTCAAAATATTTTAGCATCTCAGAATTCTACACTTGCTTCAGTGAAGTTCACATACTTGATGACCAACTGGGAATGGCCCCTGTGTTCAACATATCCAAGAAAAAGTGGCATTGTATAGTGTTGAGAGCATGGGCTCTGACTATAGATCACACCAGGGTCAAGTCCCAGCCTTCCCAAGTATACTGCCACTAACAAACTCTATGAGCTTGGGAAGTCAGTTAATTGCTCAAAGTCTCAGTCTCCTCATATGTAAAATGGAAATAGTAAGCGTACCTTTATCTCATGGGATATTTAGGAGATGAAAGTGAAGTATACCAAACAGTAAAAACACTCAACAAAGTTTTATATTATTAGGAGAGAAAAGTATATGTAGAAGGCAAATAGCATTCAAGAGAGCATGACTTGAAAGAATTCCAGCTCTTGGTATAATCCTGGAGGCAATTCCCGCAGTAGAGAGTTTCAAGGTGATGGCTGAGGCTTCAGAGCCAGAGCTCTCTAAAAAGTGCACGGTATCTATGGACACTGGGAACTTGAGCGTATGGTTTGTCACTAGGGGAGCCAGGACTGGCTTACTGCCATGTTCATTGCATAAAAGACCATTTGGGGGATTCAAAGCTCTGCCAGCTAATTGATATGAACACTGTGAGCTCCTCAGGAATGAAGCCTGAAAATGTGGGGCACTTAGTGAATTCTTAGAGCTGCCAGGACAGCCTTCAACATCAATCTTCTTTCTAGAAGATGGGCTACTAAGTAAATAACTTAGGCCAAAGCAAGTAAGCACACTGTTTGAAGGAGCAACTTTACCTACTAACTTCCAATACTGTGAGATTATCCTTAAACACATCAGTAGAAAAAAGGCTGAGCTTGAAAACACAACCTGCAAACCCCAAACCCTATATCCCTGAATTTGCTATCCCCTATATCCAATTCTGAAGTAAACAGTTTCTGGCAATTATCTCTCTAGTCATTTTCTTGCTCTTTCCTTTCTCCAAAAAAGTTATCCCCATCACATTACTTACATTGCTTTCTAGAATGTCACCTATTGACCTCCTAATTAAAACAACAAGTGATCATTTAAACTTCAAGTTCATCTTTTCATATAGGTAACATCCTCTTGTTTATTTAATATGTGGATTCAATGAGTACAGCGCTGTAGATAAAGATACTAGAAGGTTGGAGAGAGGCTAGACATGCACAAGACTAGCCCCTGGCTGCAGGAAACTTGTTTGGAGAGACAAAAAAGTTAATAATTAACAAGTACAGGGATGAGTTTGGACTTTACTCCAACAGGCATTGAAAATAATTAGAACTTTTCAAGAGGGGCGCAATGATCCCAGCCATGTTGAAATGTGATGGGAGGGATTAGAGAAGCAATAATACTAGACTCAGGCAGACAGGTCTGAAAAGTTATACTGTAATAATCCCAGCAAGAGATAATGAAAACAGGAATCAGTAAGTGGCCAAGGAAGTGGGAACAGACTATAGAAGGCAGATTTGTTAGAACTTGGGAGACTTTAAATTTGTGTGTTAGGGTGAGGAAAGAATAAATGAGAACTTTGTTGTTTCCGACTCGAATAACTAGACTAGATGGCATACCACACATTTTCTGAGATGGAAAATCAAGGAGACATTTTTTCAAAAAACACTACAATGGGCTTTGATTTTAGGTACAGTGGAGTTAAAATGTCATATAAATAGCCATATAACAATATCTAACAAGTTGCTGAAAATTCTAACTTTAATTTTAGAGATGTCAGAGTTATTATTTGAAGCTACAGTACAGAACAAGATAACTAAGACAATGCAGAATGGGAAAAAAACTGAGAATGGAAACTGAGAGGCCTACAATGAAGGAAAAGGTGGACACATATAATGTGTGTCACCAGCTTCTATCTCCTGCTTCCCCTTTCTTTTTTTCTTTTCCAGATTTACTTTGCCCAAAATAAAAATGAAACTTGAACATTCTGAGAAAGGTAACAACCTGATTTAATAAATGTAAACTCATAAATTATATGGTTTATCAAGTGCTATCTTTTATCCTTTTGCTGCTCTTCAGAAACAAATTCACTGTGAGCTGAAACTAAAAATCTGCACTGCCACCTCAGTTCTTCTGGGATTGAACTCTTACACAGTAATAATTTTCCTCATCTATATTAAGCATTTAGAGAGGAATATCTAAGGACACAATAATATGGAGTTGTACTACAGGCCCTATTATGTGATTATTTATAATATTTTAAGTGACTAAATAATAAGCCTCAAAAAGCGACTCTTAAACAGGTAATAATCCCTATTTCATTATCTTTGAAATCACCGATATCTGGGAGACAGTAGAGTGTAGTGGTTAAGGTGTCAAAAATGTAGATTTATATCCTGTTTCTTCTGCCTCTTGATAGCTGTGTGTGATCTTGGGCAAATTATTTACACTGTGTCTCAGTTCCCTTATCTGTAGAATGAATAAGAGTGCTTATCTGAAATAATTATTGTGAGGATGAGCAATAACTATGAAGTGCTTAGAAGAGTACTTCACAGAGTAAATATTCCATGTGATTTCTTGCTTTGACATCTTTCCCTTTGACAAGAGGTGCTTCACAGAATCAAACTGTTGGAAGGGGCATAAATAGATCACCTAATATGTCTTCTCACCTGAGGAAAAATAGTTGTCTAGCCTTATGTTAAAAATCTGTTTTATTATTTTCAGAGGCCAAACACTGGAAACAATTCAAGTATCATCATCAAGTGAATGGATAAACATCTGTGGTAAATCCATGCCATGGAATACTACATGTGATAAAAAGGAATAAACCATTGATACATGTATCAACTTAGATGAATCTCAAAATAATTATGCTGAGTGAAAGAAGCAACAAGAGTATATACTGTATGACTCTTTTCATATGATATTATAGAAAAGGCAAAATTATAATGACAAAAAGCAGATTAGTTTTCTGGGGGCAGGTGTGGGAGGAAGGAATCCAGTTAAAGGGGAAAAGAGACAATGTAGAATGTATCCACTGTCTTGGTTGTGATGGCGGCTACATAATTGTGTACAATTATTAACATTCATCAAACCATACACTCACTTAGGTGATTTTAATATGTAAATAATACCTTAATTGAAAAAATTCTACAACTACCAATAATACCATCCAAAAAACATGTCATAGTTGTGTACCCTGTCATTTATATATGAGCTGTTATGATGGGAATATATTGTGAGATATTAGCAGAATACAGGGGGAACCCCCCCAAAACTGGAATTATCTTCTGGAGTGTGGGACCCTTGTAGTATAGGATTATTCTGCTAAGTGAGTGTGCTAGGAACCCATGTGTATCGGTGTACCAGCTGGCATTGCTGTGAGAGGCTGTGTTCTGCTTGAGTGAATTTTTTTTTGAAGTCTCTTTCAACGTGTTTGCCCATTTCATGATGGGTGATTTACAAGCACACCTGCCCACAACGTGCTGACTGTTCAGCAGTTTTATACCAAAAACTGCAAGACCCCCATGCCCTACCTTCCCTATTCACCCAATTTTGCCCCAAGTGACTACTTTTTTTGTTTCTCTGGTTGCAAAATGTCCTCAAAGGGAAACATTTTGCCAATGTGGAAGAGGTGAAACAAAAAACAGCAGAAGTACTAAAAGACATCAAAATCAATGAGTTCAAATACCATATGATCTCACCTATAAGAGGAACCTAATAGACAAAACAACAAACAAGTAAAATAGAAACAGAGGCATGGAAACAAGGAACAGACTGATGGTGACCAGAGGGGAGGGGGGAGGGGGATAAGGATGGAAAGAAAGGGAAGGGACAAGTCAAGGAACATGTATGAATGACCCATGAACATGGATAACAGGGTGGTGATGGACTGTGGGAAGCAGAGAAGGGTGAAGGAGAGCAAAGGGGGGAAAATATAATAGAACAACTATAAAATATTTATTTAAAAAACCTTTTTGAAGTGGAAAAAAGTGTCTCGATAGGTGTACTGAATCAAATGGAGAGTACTTTGAAGGTGACTGAAGTTTAAACATGTAAGAATAAATACACAATTTTTTATAAATAAATTCAGTGTTTTGGAGGCACCTCCTCATACACAGAACCCAAGCATGCCATTAAAATGGGGCACTAGATTTAGGAATTTCAATTATAGAGTTAGAAAGCATGTCCTTTTTTCTTTCATTCTTCTTTTCTCTTTCCTTTTTTTCTTTCCTTCCTTCCTTACTCCACTATATGTTGGGCACTTTCCATCTGTGGCCAATATCCTGGGCATTTAAAAATTATTTTGGAAGAAAATAGAATACTGTGTAAAGCTTTTACCACAAAAAGAGACAAAGAGCAAATCTTGGTCAATATCTGTATTTAGGTGGTACCCAGTGGTGGAGGGAGAGTGAAACCATTAGAAAAGGAAGAGCAGAAGATGTTGGAAGGGGAAGCAGAAGAGCCCACAGGTTCTGAAATAAAGCTTTCTGAATGTTACTTTCCAAATTTGAAATCTTGTAAAGAAAAAGAGCAAGAAATGGAAAAATGTCTATGGCAGAGTGTTAAGGGGCACTACATTTGTAAACACAGTATAATTCTAGAAATGAAAGGGTCTGAAGAAATCATCTGGCTCAATTTTTTTTAACAAGAATTTGAATATAATCTCTCAATCTCTCCTGTGGCTTGGATTAATAGGCATGCAAAAGGCATACAGTCCTGATATGGAACATTTGCCTGAGGAACTATCATAAGATGTTCCTACTAGAAGGGAACTGGCTGTTTTTTATATTAAATGATAACCATGCACATTTTACTGAAAACAGAGAAAACTTTCTACCTGATGATTTAAAGGAATTTGATTTAAATTAAATCTACCTTGTGGGAGCTAACAGATTCTGGAAAGAAATCTATTTGAAAGGGGTTTCCCCTAATACTCAGAACTTTCCAGGGACGAAGAAAGGGGGGGCCATTTCTTCATACCAGGCCCCAGTCACAACCTCCTCACACTGTTGCATCTTGACCTGGAGTAATTCTGAAGTCAGTTTCAGCAGTGAACCTCCCAGTACAAAGAACCCTGGCTTTCCAACATTTTTTCACACTGCATAACTTCATGAGCCACATCTTTCTAAGTTTTGCCCAAGGCAATAAAACTACCTTAAATCTACTTTCTTGTTAGGGTTTCCTGAATAAGTTCTGGACAAGTGCTGGGCATAGGTGTTTCCTTGGGAGCAAGGAAATAAACTTAGAATTAAATTCTGCTTCTACTCTACCTACAAACTTCTCAACATTTTCTAGCATGGCAGGGATTTCGGTGCACTCTATCACTACACTGGAAAGTACTGAACACACTGTTCTCAGAAAACAAAGACAGGTAAGCTTAAATACGTGAGAAACCAAAATCAAGATACAGGTGATTTTAATATATTTACAGTTTACAGAGGATATCTGAAAACAGGCAGAGCACATCAGAGAAACATAAGATGTCTTCGAGGAGAATTGGGAATAGGCTTACAAAGCACCAGTCCAGCTCTTAAGCTGATTTCCCTCTGATTTGGCACAAGACAGACTCAAAACTAAATGCATCAAGTGTCCCCTCCACACAAACATCCCAGAGCAAAGGCTGGCAAGCGCTTCCAAACACTTCCAGCTCACCATGTTCATGAGAATGTTAAAAACAACACTGTGGCCCTGACTGGTATGGCTCAGTGGATTGAGTGCTGGCCTGTGAACCAAGGGGTTGCCGGTTTGATTCCAGGTCAGAGCACCTGCCTGGGTTGCAGGCTGGTACCCAGTGGTGGGTGAGTGAGAGGCAACCACACATTGATGTTTCTCTCCCTCTCTTTCTCTCCCTCTACTCCTCTCTCTAGAAATAAATAATTAAAATATTTTTTAAAAACCACTGTGGTTCTTAGTAACTTTCTGGATAGAGACCTAACTAGGTGCAATATGCTATAGCCCACCTCGAATACCCAACTCAGGCCAAGGCTCCATCTTTACCTCCACAGCCCATGTCATCTCGATTTGAATCTAGTTTTTGTCATTGTTTTGTTCTTTCGCAACTGATGAGTTTGAACAGCAGAGAGCCAGATAAACTAGATAAGAACACAGTTTCCTCCAAATATCAAAAATCAATGTTTATACTGTGAAAAGGGGAACAAATAAAAGTATTTTTAAAATCTTCCTGCCACTTTCTTTTATCAAATAGAATGTGATGGCTTACATGAGATAGACTCATGGACACAGAACATGTAGCCTTCAAATATAGACTTTCTCAAAGGGCAGGGATGGATTCATGTTAAGCATAGCCTTTGGCATACCTTGGATGAGCCAGAGCTATCAAATGGCAACAGGCACTCCCGAGTGACATTTTGTTTCTGAGTGGCATTTCTCTGGAGAGCTTTACACTCCAGTTCAGGGGCTAAACAAAGAAACCTACCCATGTCGCTGAAAGAAATTGTGGCTCTGGCAAAGTAGATGTGTAAACATTCAGTTGGTCCCATATACAATTGTTCTAGCTCCTGAGGAAAGCTGAACTATGATTCCAATAAGTTTCTAAGTAATTTTCATCCTCATATCATTGACCCTCTGCCCCCACATTCATTCAATTTCTGCATAACCAGATGAAAGAAACACACACTTAAGCAGAAACTGGGGTGAAAAACAGAACTTTATAGAAGAAAAAAGAACACACTAGACAGTCTATTAATTAGTCAACTTTCTGTTTTCCCTAATCCCTAATCCCTGCCTTCTGCTCTTCAAGGAATGAGTTTACCAGCCAAGTACTTACCTCTGAGCAGCTACGGTTGCAGCAGCATCCAGAGCAAAATGTCTCATCACGCTCTCCTCTAAATACTTCTGTTCCCACTTAGTCATATCAGCTTCCAGGGCCAAGATCCTCTCCTCCTTCTCACGAAGGAGCTCCATCAGTGCAGTGGCATTGTATTCTGAAACATTAGTAGGCTGAGAGTTGCCCTGGCGCTGTTGGGAGAGATGCCACGACCCCTCACGTTAGTAGAAGAAGAAGCATGGTGGGCAAGTCCCATATGAAGAGCCCCTATATTTGGAAAGGATTACTGCCCAAGACACTTCAGTTTGGATTCTGATTCCAGAGCAAAAGGAATTCAGATTTCCTCCTAAGCCCACAGGACTATCTTGAGCTTGAATATGAGACTCTCTTGATCAGGAAAGGAACTTGCCATATCAAATTGTCATGCGGCTCAGAAAGTGGATCAGTGTTTTACAAACAACAATCCCTGACTGCCTTCATGGTACAGAATAAAAATGGGATTTATAAATCTAGGCTGTGGTCTTTACCTTGCCCCTGACTTGCTGTTTGACTTCAGTGAGTCATGCAAGTTTTTCTGGGTCTTCATTTTCTTTCATCTAAAAATGAGGAGGGGTATGGCCAGATGATTCTAAAGATCATTTCCAATTCTAAAATGATTTGGAGTCTATTTGTATAGCATCTTCACTTGGCATTGGGTCTACTGTTTCTGGGGTTCATGTGAAAAAAAAAGGTACAAGATAATAGGCATTAAGAATTTTGCTGAGACAGGAAACTAAATAAGCAGACTTCGTCTTCACAATTAGGAGGCACTCTGGAGTAAGATCAGGTGGGGCAAAAATCCTGAAGATGAGCATGAGGTTTTTGTTTGCTTGTTGTTTTCTTTTTTTTTTTTTGTCTTTATGTCAAACACCAGGAAAAAAACAAGCAATTAGTAATGTTCATTTTCTTTAAGTTCTCCAAACCTGTTGAATTCTGAGGGACTCCAGTTCTCTCTCTAGTCGTGTCCGGAGACGGTGTTCCAGTTGCTCACGTTTTTCACATGCTGCCTGAAGTTGTACAAGGGCCTGCTGCATCTTTTCCACCTTATCTACATACACCTGCTTCTTTTTCAGCTGAAAACCCAGGTTCAGACAGTTGCAAGATGGAAGGAAGGAGAACAAGATCAGTTATGTAGGCTCCCCCCTCAATCCAACCCTCTGTTTAGATCTCTTCCTGTCCAACTCTAAAAGAGTAAATTACGAGAATGTTTTTCCGGATGATTAGCAGGCTGCCTTAAATTTATCATACAGAGACTGTGACAAGAGATAGGAATTAGGAGCCCCTTTTTAAGCTCTTTCTCCTTCCCTATATCTGTTTCCAGTTGTAGAGTCTAAGACACACTCTACTGATGGAAATAATAGTATATGTCAAGCTCCTAAGATTCCCATATTTGGGTGTCCTCACCTTTGCCCTTCACTTCACACTGCAATATTCTGGAGGAAAGTATATCTTACTTTGGTCATTACAATACAGAAATACTAAAAAACAAAAACAAAAAACAAAAAAGAGGACTCTCCAGGGAGAAAGGCTTTATTTGGCATGGAAAGGAAGTCCACACCTCCCCCCCATTATGTAGATGTCTCCTATTCAAGTGAGAGAAAAAGGATGGTCAATTACTGAAAGTACAAGGAGTCTTTAATTGTTTTTCTGAAGTCTACAGTCCTGGTAATTACCTTTTATTAGAAGCGCAGAGATTATTTACAATTTCTGCCTCACTTATGAGCCTGAGCCTGAGTTGATAATATTGGACTATAGTATTTCAACCTTTTTTTCTAGTGCCTTTAAAGAGTCCTTAAGACTCAAATTAATGAATCAAATCTAAAACTAAGTCAAATAATGCTTCCTCCTCTCTGAAAGCCTATGAACCATATCCAAAAGGGAAGGCAGAAGTAGGCTGAGACTAAGAATTTAAATTCTTGTGCTCTTGCAACTTACAAGCCAAATCCTGGCTCCATGGCAATGAAGGAATGAGGAGAAGCTCCCTTTAAAGAACGTACACATGTTCTCAACAATGACAAAGACAGGGGAAAGTGCATCCTTACCAATTTGTTAGTAAATGAACAGATATGCTTTTCATAAGACTTGTGGAATGCCTTTCTTGTTAATAAAATCAACCCATGGTCTCTATAAAGCAGACAATTTTGCAATTGTCATCATTATTTTCATGGAAGCTGAGGTTAGGGATATTTTCACTATTATGATTTAAATCTGAAAATATTATTGATAAGTGAGTCAAAAGGAAATTCAAGAATTCAGCTAAGCTCTAACTTTTCAACAAATTCTGAAGCCCTTAATCTACCTATCAGCATTGCCCATATCCATTTAGCTGGGACCAAGCCAGCAAAACTTGACTCCCCCATTGCAGAAGCCAGGTAACTGATTAATGGTAATGAGTCCAAATCACTGCTATCTAGAATGCCCAGTCAGACACCAATGGCATGTTCTAGTGGGGAACTCTGTCTTATAACTGCCCTCTCCCGAAATTAGAATTGCTGAACTTTCGTCAGGTAGGAGAAAACCTGTACTATATTTTTCTACCAGCCCCATGGTATGTTTTCCCTAGGGGACTGAGAAAAAAACCTTAAAACCTTTTTTTCTTTACTTTCTTGATATTTCCTTTCATTCCAAGGTCTAGTTCAATCTAACCTTATCAACCACATGAGATGAGTTATAAATCTAGACTTTTTTTTTAGCCATTAAACCTTGTCCTAAGAAATAAAATAAACAAATATCATCATTCTCTTTGTCTCAATAAACTTAAACCTTTGTTTCCTTGGATCCATGACTATTTATTTGTAACAACACTGACTAGGGTGAGGAAGACCTTTAGGCCATGGATGCCTCTTCCTTCCTATTTGCTAAGTCTTGAATAATTCGAAAGCAGGAAATATGCTCTACCATTCACCTTTTGGGTTCTATAATCCTCATGAGCTATTTAAAGTTGAATGCATTATTTGTGAATCACTCTGAAAACTCTAGGGGAGCAGTGAAATGTTAATGCAAAGAATGTTAACTATAATTACAGAAGCTTACAGCAGTTATACTTAAAAGCAATTAAAGTTAGATAGCATGCAGTTCTTGCTGTGATGGTTAAGTACTGCCATGTAAGCTCAGAGAACTGAAAAATAAGCAGTCCAAAGTCAGGTATATTTCTCCATGCTCTGCCTTTCTTGAGAAAGAAAACCTTAGTATCATATCAAAAGCATCATCAGCAATTTCTACAGCTGAGCCACCCCTCTAGAAGGGAAAAGCAATGAAGGACCAGACACTTGTCTGAGTTGATTGAAGATAGGCATGCAGATTAGGCAACTTCCACAAAGCAGGCCAAGAAAAACGTCATTATGCTTTCTTTCTTTGCCACTGGGATGATGTCCCCACAAGGTATAAGGACCTCTGTTGCTGGTATAATTCTTCTGCTTCCTTTAAAAGGAGAAAGAGTGCAGCTCACCCATAAACACCATGATCACCTAGTAAATGCTTAATCTCTAGATAAGTAAGGATAGAAAAAGACAACTCTTGTCATGGGCAGGTATGTCAGTTGGTTAGAGCATCGCCCCGATACACCAAGCTTGCATGTTTGATCCCCAGTTAGGGCACATACAAGCATCAACCAATGAATATGTAAATAAGTGGAACAACAAAAATTGATGTCCCTCTCTCTCTCCCCAGCTCATAAATAAATAAATAAATAAATAAAGACAACTATTGGATGTCACCAGTGCAAGACCTTATAAATCAATCAACAGAGCCAGACAATGCTTGGATGCTACCAATGCAAGACCCTATAAATGCAATCAACAAAGTCAGCTATCATCTAAATTACATACTGTTTTCTAGATCTCATCTATATGTATAAAGAAACAAAGGTCTATATGGTTTATTAAATTCACCACTATCCTAGATGTTATATGCTTCAATTTTACCTTTATCATGGAAATCTCCTTTTTTTTTTTTTTTTTTTTTAGCCTCACATGTACAAACTCATCTCCTATGCTAGGCTTCTGAAATGTTAGCTCAGTATCTAGGACATCCTGGGTCCCCAGCTTCACTTTCCAATGCTAGCAGAAATATCAGTGGTTCTTCTTACGTAAAGAGAAAGGCCATATGGTAAAATCATAAAAGTCATGAGGTCTGGCCTCAGAATGCCCAAGTCCAGATCTTGGGTCTCTTATTCACTAGGTATGCAACCTTAGGCAAGCTACTTAATCTCCCTGAGCTTCCATTTACTCATTCATCAATAATATGGAGATGATAACACAATATACCTCTATAAGGATCAAATGTGATAACATGAAGTATTTAGTAGAGTTTCTGGTACAAAAATACTCAGAGTTTTCCTTTTTTAAAGAAAAAGTTAATGCCAAGTCACACATGCTCTCATCATTTCAACTTTCAACATTCACTCCAGATAGCCTTGACATGGTTCTCATTAACTCAATAACCCTAATTACTACATCAATCTCTAATTAAGACACTAAAAATGCAGCAATTTTTCCCAGAAAGACATGTAACATTAGGCCTCAAACACCTCATGAAATACAGCTTCAGATATCTTTATGGGGCAAGACCCTTCATTAGAGATATAATTAAATGAAAGCAATGAGTAGCTACCATGATACCATATTCTCTCGAAATTATATGATTTAGGGGCATCTCCATTTTAGGAGAAATAAATACTTTTAAGGTGTCGTTTTAACTAAATACCCTTAGGCAGAGTGCATACCCCACAACATACACACATGCATGCTTACACACACACGCACGCGCACACACACACACACACACATCAGAATTTTCTATTTGACAGCAAAATGAAAGGGAAAAGAACAAGGTGGTAATCAGAAGACTTGGATTCTAGTCCTAGCTCTGCTCTTAATGGTGATATCTTTATGTGTTTTCAGTCCCAAAGCCCCCATTTGTAAAAAATGAGGGGGGTTTTATGAGTCAGCCAATCGAAATGGTCAGCAGTGGGCCAAATCCAGTCATGCCCATTAACTTATGTATTGGCTATGCCTGCCTTCCTACAGTAATGGCAGTGATAACTAGTTGCATTTGTAAGAGAAACTCTATGGTCCACAATATTGAGAATATTTATTCTCTGGTCCTTTACAGACACATTGTCAGGCCCTGGAATGATTTTTAAACTGTGTTCTACAGTACTAGTGTTCTATGGAGTGCTTCAGAGGTCACTATGGTGGATCCTCTGATATGTGTTTTGTATATTGGGGTTTTATATAGAACTTCATTTCAAAAAAAGATTGCTAATTCTTAGAATGAATATGTCTATTTGTGTGTTGTCTGTCTTCTCCAGAGAATGGGACTCCCATTTTACCTCACTCCATCATTTTTTCATGCTTAACACTTTAGCCCACTTACCTAACTTAAGACTCCTGAGGACCCCAAGGTATTTCACCCCTCATTACCTTTGGATATGACATTCTGTCTCTTAGGGACACCCTGTGCACTAGGTTTTAAGAAGTTAAAATAACAACACTGGGCTAAACAGATGATCTCAAATGTTTTCTAATAGCCTTTTAATTCACTAATATTTTATGAATCTAAGCTTCTTCCTTTAACCTTCAACACTGACCAGAAAGTAAGAGGGCTAGGCAAAATGGGATCCTAGAATTCCATACAGGCACATGCATCCAAGAGATAGAACATAAATGTGTATAGTTTCCATGGGACCTTATATGATTTGTTTCTCTATGTTTTCAGTGTTCAAGGAAGTAAAAAGTTCACTTGAAATGTTTCCAAAGCCAAGGTAGGGACACAGATCTAGAGACAGGTAGCCATGGGTCCCTAGAAGAAGCCAGGTAAATCCATCATTTAAATCAAATACCCTCTATATATTCAGTAAATGGGGAAAACCATTCCATACTTTCAAATTTTCTTACCAAATGCCAATTTTCAAAGACTTGTCAAAGCTCCCTTTCCCTTGCTTTTCCTAATTCTATGTTGTCCTATTGTGGTCCCTTAAGTCATTCTTACTTTCTGTCTTAATCATTTAGACCCACCTTCCCTTCCAGTTTCACCCCTCACCTTCTGCTATCCCCAAAATCCAATTTATGGC